TATATATATATATATATATATATATATATATAAGCCTTAAAATTCTAACCAGATACTGTAAACAGGCTCATGTCTCGCGAAGGTCCTGAGGACTACAATGCCTGGAAAATACGTTCCTTCAGGTTTAACCTTCTCACAGATGTTGGTGATGAGCCGTGAATTGAAGGAGATTGGACCAGATTGGTACGAACAATCACATTACTGGGCTGTCCGGAGGTAAGCTAATACTGTAGACTGCAACGGGATTTTGAGGAGAGTAAATTCTTCCATACAAGTGACCATCACGGAAGTAGAGGTGCTGCCTTTCCACGAGGAAGAGGCGTTTGGAATTTTTTACCTTGAAAAACCGCACACTTCAAGTGTCCGAATGTTAGCTGTAACCACTGGTGTATCAAGAATAAGGTCTAAGCATTTCTTACAGCACACCAAAAGTGCGTCATAGCGCGAACAGACAGTCAACTCTGCCTCACTGTCCGCATCACAGGCTAGCCGCCCTCGGGATGTGGGTCAGATCCTTGGGTTGTTAGATTCCTCGGGAAAACCCTACATTTCGGTCAGGTTGGTGCGGTCAGGACGCTGAGGGCTAAAAGCAAACTGTTTTAAAGCAATCCAAATCCGCAAACTAGACATCTGGAAATGAAGCAATCTTCAAGTCTCATATTAGGCACAAAGAAAACTCGCGTATGGCGAGCTACTCAATAATTTTAGTTTGGAATATGGAATCTGGAACATCGGAATACCACTGATTGATACCGTCAGTATTTCAGTGTCTATTGCAGTGTTGATGCTCATTGTAAGGCCAGTATGGTAAGGGTAGACGATGGAGAAGAGTAAGACTATGCATGTTTGCACTCCAATCTTTCTACCTCAGATTTATATTGGCTTCGCAGGTTTGCCCCCAGTGATGAATCCAGCACTCTCAAACCGTTTGTGTTATCGTAAGTTTGCGCATGTTTCCATCGTTCCTACCACTGTTGACAGTGAACTTTTCTATCGAACACCAGCCATATATATGTACATACATACTCTGTTCTTCGTCAGAAGTGAAGGGTTCAACCGCGAATTAGTGGTACTGGCTCTGCAATTCACTCCGGCATGGGTACTCTATATCCGGCTATGATGAAAATCTCGATCGCACTTACGCTTTCATCCGTCGTTTCTAGTCATGTGTCGTCAATGAGTGCTCCGATGTATAACAGATTTAATCACACTTTCGGTTCCAGCACTTCAACGAAACCCTAGCGCAACCAGAAGGTCAGTGTCCTCAAGACAATTGGGAAAGTCTTAAGTCAACTAAAAGAACAAGTGGAGAGCATAACCATTAGTAATTCAGGAATACCTTCTGATCTACATCTTTGAATGGTGTCATTATTAAAAAAATTGTTTACCTTCTCACCATCCATGTATGTCGTGAATTCGCTGCTCGTTTAACTCATTCGCTGGAATGCACGTAGTTTTCTGACCTGACGATGTAACTCAGGCTAGAGCCAGCTCTATTGGTTGGCAAATTTGACTACTCGCGAACATCACACTTCTTTGTCCTGGCGAACCATCAACCTTCACTTGGAAATGAACTAGGAATTTGGGATTTGATCACACGTCATTAAGGAAAAGTCAACCACATGAGGTACTCGGCTGTAATTCCACTGGCTAGGTGGAAATGTGAAGTCTGCGGAAAGCCATCCAGCCTACCTGGTCTCATTTGTTCTATCCACTCATATTCAGCCTAAAAACACTTGAGCGCTTAGCACACTTGAAGTGCGCAACGTTTCACTGATTTGAGTTTGCTTTCGACGTGACGTGCAGATGACTGATGAAACAATGCCTATGTGGATATGTTATGCGAAACGATGTTAGAACTTTTCGTGAATACTCGTGAGCTGAATCTCACAAAAATAACGCCAATAAACCTTACGAATTTTGCTCAAAAATGACAAATGACATGTCTTTTAGTGTGGCTAACATTCACAGATGTGCTACATCACTGAAATGAGCGATATAAAGGGTCATTCTGGTCCAGTGAATAGTAGCATGCGATTCACCCTTTATCTCCATGTGTTAGGTAGATATTTGTGCCTAACTGGATGCCAGAACAAACATTCAATGTTACGCAAATATCATCTAAGCCAGGAGGGTTTGCGGCTATTTCCCGGCCGAGTGCTTCAGATGGGATTCGAACGAGTCATGGTGTTTACTGCGAACTTCGAACGTCAATGCAAAACAGTACATAACCGGATAATAGATGCATCGTGCATAAAGATGTCTTCCAGTTTCCATTCAGCAGTCGGGTGTGTGATACAAAGTTGCCAAGGTTCTCCACATACGAAAGCGCATTGCATGAAGAAGCCACCTTAGCCGATCAGATTTCACAATAAGGTCACAGCCGGGTCGGTTGAAGATGCGATTTGCAGCGACGAAATATCTCAACTGGATACATGAAGTCTGGTTTGCTATCAACATCGAGTGGAGAGAAGGGAGACTAGAAATAGCCAAGGTCACCATGGCAACTATTATATAACTATTTGGTGGATAAAGATCATACGTTTATGCCAGACGGGAAAATCCTGATTGCTTACTGAATCGCGACAGTTCAATATCCTCTCGTTCAGTTGTTCCCTAAACGATAAGCTCAGTTCTCTTCCATATCTTTTGGATTTCGAAATGTATTGCACATACCTGCGTATAATGATTTGGACCGCAAATACTTGGGATCGCCTAATCTATATACGTAAACCGAAGGGAGGCTCGATGATGCGTTGAAAACTCTTGCAAAAGAAATGCCGAATTTATGCAGGCACACAAAAGGCTGTTTCGAAATATGTGGATTTTCAAGCTTCGGTTGAATCGGTCTTGATAGCATTTGGAACCTACCAAGGAGAAAATATAATATTTAAAAGAGTTTGCCCACGAAGGCATAAACATTGGTAAATTGAGCTAGAGAATATTTCCGCTGGCACCTGTTGAAACTTTTATGGGCTTCAGTTAGGTGGGAGATGGTAAACTGAGAACACGTTGACTTATTAAGTTTGTTCATCGGAACGTATTGGTCACACATCCCCACCGTTAAGCAGTATGGTGCAAGCTTTTAAGCCAACATGTAAGGTAGAAAAATCAAGCTTCGGGAAGACACATCTGGCAAAAGACGGTGTGCCATGCATCCAATTGCAGGTAACTCATTTGTTTTTATCTGGTGTTCTTCATTTGATTTTTGTTCTGTTTTGCGACCTTCGCAAGTGGCTAGCAAGCGTTTCGTCACCAACCGAGAAGCCACTTTCAGTATGCGATGGACAACTCTTCTTTGATTGGTGACGAAAAACGTGTGTATTTGTCAGGGTAATCAATAGCACTCACGTAGCTGAAACCGCTCTCTGTGTGACCGTCCCCAATTCCGGTCTGACATATTTATTATCCCCAGGGTTGTATACGAAGACGTTTTTTGTCGATTTCCTGGGGTTATTTATAGTGGGACTCTGACGCCTTCCTTTTGAGATATGTCGTTCCTGCACCGGAGTCATATCAAACTCGGCATCCGTGTCTTCTTCTTCAACATGGACGGGTAACGGATCTGGGTGAGTTATTCGACGAGGCCCGTTGGTGGGATTGCCGCGTTGAGAAGTCACTGCTTGTTGCGTTACATCACGAGCACAAATCTCGGCGATTTCTTCGTCAATCGGTTCTGGGCTAGAAGATGGACTTCGATTCTCGGAAGTCAAATTCTTTTTAACAGCTGGCTTCCGCGATTCTTTATGTGTTGGGGGATTATTTTCCTGATTGAGAATGTTGATTTGCTTGCGATAGTACTTCGTTGACTCGGCAGTCTCCTTCAAATGACGCGGCAGTCTCCCTCAATGGGATACTGAAAGTCAGAAGATGCAGACACAGTGAAAGGTTGACCGCTGATTTACTCCCGAGTTCGGAAGGTTGGTTGGTGCAAAAATGAACAATAGGGATGCACCATTGGCAAAGGAGGGTAATGAGATAAATAACTTGAGCAGAGTTTTAGTATCGATGTTGTCACTTTGAGGTGTTTTCGAAAACAAACATAATTTGCGTTCATTGTCGTCTTGATCTACCAAGAGTTTAGCGGAAAAACATGCTGAAAATTACTAGTATTTCGGAAAATGACAAAATTGTGAGAAGGGATTTGAGAGACATCGTTAACAGGGACAAATATCGCGCGTGTTCGCAACAAGCTACGCGCACTCACTTGAGAGGTTTTTTTCAAATGGCCGAAAACGTATCAGAGTATTTTTTTACCGACTAATATACTGCTCACGAGTTGCCGCCAAAACAAAGATACGGAGTGCTGCTGAACCTTTCAGCGTTCGTAGGAGGGCATTAGGTTGCTCTTCTGGAAACTGATTCCGCACGTCCCATCTGTTTGCCTGCTCATTTACCTTGGTTTTATACGTGTACATACAGAGTTAGGTATCGGAGAGTTGAAGGAAGCCTTCAGAAATGCAAGCTCACATAGCGACAGAAACCGGCACCCCTGTAACTTAACACATTTTCACTACTCATGAGTAGCAAAATGTCTCAAGGAAATTCGAGATGGCCAAAGTAGACATTGACGCTGCGGAAATTCTGAATATTGCCCAATAATCTAAGTTCCAATGTAGGCAACAATCTTGAAAAATTCTGAAATCGAGCGAATCAATAACAATGAAGATCGCATTACACTACTCCCTTTTTTCCCAAGTTGTATGCCAGAACCCCGATTCCCTAGTGCATTGTCCAGAGAAAACGTGGCGATAAAAATTAAGCCAGTGCACCAAACTTACATGACGAGACGTACCATTGAATTTTCGAACAAGCTAAGCGTCCTAAAGAACGACCGAATGCTGTCATGCTGTCATGCTGCCATTCTTCATTAAGTACCGGTGGTGCTGAGCAACACGATTTTTTTACTTTAGTCCCCGACCTAGCTTTGCAAGCTATCCCACCTAATCTCGTCCCGTAAATCTTCAAAATGTACTGGACCCACCAATTTGTATCTGGAGAATGTGCTACTCAGCACGTGCGGGTAGTTATGTGCGGTTCTGTGTGTTCCTTAACCGCCACGGGACTGTTCCCGGCATGTTATACTGTCAAAATTAATTTTAAGCTAAACTGTCCATTAAAGATAACCAGTGAAGCCTAAACTGATATTTTCCTTTACCTGTAGAGCGACAACTCGCTCAGCAAATGGATTGGATCGAAGACCACGTGAGCGTCTTCAAATTGCCTTCCGGTTTCCATTTTAATGAACCCTAAACACGTTGTTCACTAACAACGATATATTGGCGGTCTGCAGTTTCGTTTGTAATGACCTTTAGATGATTTTTTGCACACTGGTCACTTCATGTTTCGCCGGGAAAGATAACTGAAATATGAATATATCCTTCCTAACCAAACAACAGTTAGAAACTTGTTGCCAACTGTTCGGCAACAGACAGCCGGTATTTGATATACTGTCGTCAACGGGTTAATTTACAGTAGAGTTTACAACTCCACTTGCTGAGGTAAGAAATGAAGGTGGTGAAAAGTCGGGGGATATGCTTGCCTAAAAAGCCCTAGAAGAGCGAAACCGGTAGCGGACTTTGAAGCTGTTTTCAGCAATCATGTAAGCAATTTTTGGTGAGGAAACTTCATATTTTAAAGATGCTCCTTTATACTACGGATTAAGTTAACTTATTCGAGATGAAACAACTTAGGTTGTTCTTACATGCTGCCCAACGCAACTTTGCCTGATCTCCCATGGCCACACGTTCACGCCCTTCGCCTGATTCGATGGATCTGAAACCTAACTGAGCTTTCAACAGTAACCATTCCCGTATCGATCGTTCCAAGCTCCATATCCAATTCCATATCAATTCGCTACCTTCAAGTGACATTTAATGTGACTTGACGTAATGACAGTAGGCAGTCGGTTGAGGCGTCGTGAATTTACATGAGCTCCAGCAATTATCTCAAAACGTTGTTCTTACTTGCATCAGGTTACAAATTGAACGATGCAGGCCGTTGCTTGAAGTTCAGGCATTGAGTTATAACGAGAAAATTAGAATGTGGTCATGACTAAGAAAACTTCAACTTTAGAGCATGCCGCATGTAAGTTTGGTTCAGAAGAGAAAGTAAACGTAAACGGAGATCTGTAGTACGGTGTATGACATATTCGTGACACATTATGATCTCCCAGTGCCTATTGAAGGTATCTTAACGACTATATTTTCGCTCGATTCTGGCCACCAACTCCGGTCATTGCTGGATGATCTGTTATTGTAAGTGGGGAAATTAACACTTGGTTTTAACTTAACATTGATTTCATGCTGGCTTCAGTGTACACGACTCAGTATCTGTTGGTTGGCGAAAGGGTTCTTCTTGAGTGGTGGAATCCGGTAGTGCTGAAGAAACAGGTACTTACCAGTTTTCTATAATATTCTGCTGTCCTGGTTCGTATAAATCCGGAATGATGGGTTTCCTCGAATGGAGTATTCGTGTCTGTCGTGTCTGTGGGTCAACGTTTCGTCGTCTAACTGGCCTGCAATCCGTGTCATTCTGCGTGTTGACCAGTGTTTCGTGCCCATTGAGCGCGGCATTCGGAGGTTTGGGGCTTGAGGCTGGCATCCAGAAATTTGTCGGTGTTGCTTGTGGTTCATTGATGGGCTTGAAGTCCTCTGCTGCACCGTATGGAATGTTGGCCATGGAATATCTCACATTTGGTGATTTGTGTCTTTGCGGAGAGCTATTGATTGGTACGCACATGCTACCAACAAAGGAGGGAGACGAGTTGCCACCAAACGCATAGGACGGAGAGTTTTCTTTAATTGATTCTGATAACTTTGTATGCCTGTTCGGTCGTTGCCTGAGAAAAATTTCTCTTTGAACGGCTCCATCCAACGCCCCTGGTGCTATTGAACTTGACACCTGAGTTGGGAAGGAATACCTTTGTACATTTTCTCCTTTTACTGTAATGTGGTCACTGGTGCTGCTACTTGAAGAACCTAAACCATAAATGGAGAAGATATATGATTACTTTCATAAAATTCAGACAATCGAGCACAAAAGCGATGGGAAACGCTTTGGTTAGATGCATTCCGAAACTTCCGGAAACGGCTAATCGTTAGTAAGAATTGCAATGTTTTCTGTGAACAAGTGTTAGTACACCAAAAACAGAAAGTTGCTATGAACTTGGATTACTGAGAAGTTAGAGTTAACTAGGTCAGTTACCTTCAGGTTAGGTGGAGAATCCCCCTGCTCTGGTTGAACTTAAATCAAATTTCTTTCGAAAAGCCCTTTCCTTTACAAGCTCTCATTCAGTCACCGGGATTTAACAGAGAAACAGGTTACCAGCGGTCTGTTTAATTCATCATGATTTTCATCAGATCATCTCTACAATACTCACACGGCATTTGGGTCACCGGAACATAAGCAGTGCGTTCTAAAATAGAGTGAATCGCAAGAAAACCAAAGTTAGTTCATAGTAATGAGTGGATAAGCGGTTAATTGGTTGTAATAAACTCCAACATATCGGGTATCGCAAGAATTAACTCGAGCAGTCGCAGTAGTGTACTGTAGATAATGAACAGTGCGTTGGTTGAATTGGTCGGTTGTTGATTCGCGTTACTTTCGTTCACCTGGTTTTAGCTAAACCTGTGGAAATGATCTAGCAAGCAAAGCATAACTCACCCCTTGGTCTTTGTCGTGCACCTTTGGTTTGACTGTCACCGAAATCCATCGCTACTTGTCCGGGTGAGTAAGAACTATGTGTGTACCGACGAGTGAGATGAGGCACTTGGTTCTCCTCACGTTGATCCATTAGTGGTGCGCTCCATTTCGAGGATTCCGATGTTACACCGTTAGGTCTCATTCCAGAATACGGTGTCACGTCTACGTGTGACATATTAGGAATATTCCATGCGGGGCTTTGGCGCACCCTTTGTCCTGACATCATTCTTTCATTCGGATTTGTTCCAGGTGACGGATAGGACTGGACGGCATTGAAGTAAGTTGGCTCATCAGGATACATCGTCTGCGGTCTGCAATAGTATTCTGAAGATTTATCTGAAAGTCGCAAGAAGAAAGATAAAAGAGGTGTTTGTCTAGAACGCACTTACTAATGAATTAGTATAAATCGGACAATCAAAAATATAACTTATGTAGTGGAGCATTCCGCCTGACTGGAATTTTTATGTGATTCTTATATAACCGCTCGTTTAACAATTTCAAAGAAAACAAGTATCTTGGAACAACAAAGCCGTATTCGTTTTATGAATCTCTGGTTAGACTTTATCCAAGCTAATAAGGTTCTTCAACAGACGACAATTTGTCTCAATCTGGAAGGGAACTGACGTTGTGGGCCAGCTTCCTGGCTATTTAGAATACAAAAAAACAACAAGAACTAACGTACTGCTTTTCATATATCCCTTAGGTCCGATAAATTCATCATTCAGGTGACTTACATCGACTATTAAATCGAGCAACGTTTGACGTTGTGTTTGTCGTTGCATGGTTCGTAGCAAAACTGTTGGGTATTTTAGGAAAACAGCATACGCTAGACAGGACGTCTACATTAGGTGCCAAAATACGCTGAGTGTCTCCCTCAGCTTGCAGTTCTCGTCACTAATATCTCACCCCGTTACCTACCACCCAATTCATAACTATCGTGTTCCCATGATCTGGAAAGTTCATAACCCAGCTTAGTTTTGAATCCAAATTATCCATATCATACATCGCGTGGCTCACAGTGTGTTTAATAAAATTCAGGCCAAGTTACGCCCACAACTCCCCATTATCGAGAAGCGTTCGCTAAAAATCCTCTACAATATACCTTTCCATAACGTTTACCTCCGTCCAGTCTGCCACAGTTGGGTTCTGCTAGATTTTTATCATGAGCCTTGCGGAATGAGTTCCCTCCTTTTTGACTGAAGGTACCACATTGGCGGGAACAGTAAACTTTCTAGACTAACGACTGAATGAAAGTAGTGCACTGGAACATATGTAAACTGATGGAAAATAACGCGGCAACAAGGTTCTCTAGGGTGTCTATTTTCAATGGGCATGTCAGCTGTTGGTGTGAAGTTTTCGGCAAGCCCAGATACGTATCTGGGCGATACACAATAAGCCAACTTTCCGTCCTGCTTAGTTAACGTCCACTTTAAAATCTACCAGCCAGGCTAATCGTTAGATAAGGTCCGAAAGAGATGAGACCCGGGTCGACTTGTGCCCTACACAAGCACTATTTTGGTCTCAAAGAAGATGTCACCGCCCAAACAATCAATTGGTTTTGCCACTATCATGTTATTGTTCCCCAAAAGGACGAAGCAAGAGCGATACTCTCGGATTTGGAATATGACCACAAAGAGAGATCGCTGATCAGCAGTTTTTCATCAGTAGTTCCAAATGAGATTGCAGACCAAGTTCTAAATACATCACACCTCTGCATGTTCGTAACAGTCTAACACTATATCTCCTGGCAGTTCAATTATGTCCTTCTCCTCTTCCTTTATCTTCTTTAATTAAGATTCTTCACTTCGAGTAAATTTGCATTGGTGTGGCCTAGCAAGTTGCCGGCGATCAACACCTGTTTTTTGTGGATGACGTAGATGATATGGTTTTCACATCCGTAATTATGCCTAAACATCAGGCGAAGCTCGTTTGCCAAAAAGTTGATTAAACTTGTACGTACGTGTGATAAACAGATCAGTCTTGCAACTTACTCCTGACTGGGTAGCCAGTTTGTTGGCGATAGAGTCGGAGTCGGTCTTGAAGCTGAAAGATTTATATGGAAAGGATCAATCAGTCGACACAGATAGGCATAGATCCTAGATTCGAGTAACAGGTTAATGGATAATTTCGCAAAATATTTCATTATTTTCTTAAACGACCCCAGAGATCGAGAAGCAGTACAAGAGTCTACCTAAGAGGGGTATACTTAAACAAATGTGTCTCAGCTTCTATTCAATAAATGTAGGAAATTATGTTATAAATGGTCCTGTCGATGCTGGGCTGCTTTAATGTAAACTCTGTTGATATCATTAAGCTCTTTGAGATTTTTTAACGCCACAGAGCATACATAAGTCGAAACCAGAGACTGAGATATTGTTCAAATCTTCTAACGCTCAGTACCTACACTACAGTAGTGTATATAACTTGATTTCGATTGAAGACTCATCTCACTAGATCAGCATACCTCATTAACCTAGCTGTTGCGTCGTTTGGTATTCAAATCACACTATAGCCTGTAGCGCATACAGAGGGTACTGTCAGCAATAGACAGGAGGAAGTCTGTACAAACACCACCATATACAATTGTACGTGACTGTGTGGTGAATAACTGGTTGTGCAACACTCGTCCGTATTCACGTGAGTGTGTGAACATATCTGACGCTACCATCTGAATGACAGATCAAGCTGATTTATTGCCACTTCATATGGATTCAAGTCCCCGCCTATCCTGATGCCACGCCTGCCAAACCTCCTGGAAGAACCTCAACGAGTATTGACCCATACGTGTACAGAATATTTTACATTTAAGTCTCATGCAGCACTGTGAATCACGGCAAAAAACATCAACTTTCCACCTCTGCATTGGGTAAAAGGACACCAGGTAGGTGATGGGGTTTCGCAATTGGTGGTTCCAAGAGGCACCATAACATTAGGCTCCTGAATCGGGTAGCCTAAAACAGATGCCTTAGCGTCCCGAACTAACCAAGTATTCCATTGCCTCCAAGGCTATGCTGTATGTCCCACACTCTCCCACTTTTCGGTTGCTGAAACCGTAGCAGCTGAGACCAATGTGCGTGTGGTACACAGTTCATAGCTGATAAATTGTGCGATAGATTGATTGATCGACACATAGTTCAATGCTACATATACTTAAACTCACTCTGATGATTCGCACAGGAGTTAAGAACAAGAAAGATATCGACATCGGTGTGCAGCTATGTCTAAACCCAAATATTTTATCACCTCCAGGAAGCTTCACTCACCTCTTTACGCTGACGTAGAGCGCTTCGCATCCGTCCTTCTAAATTCATCTTCTCAATTTGAATAACATGCAGTAGAGCGTTTTGGCGTTCTATTTGGGCTTGAAATTCCTTTTCAAAATTGTTCGGCCTCACATCATCGGGTACACTGTCTTCGGAGTCATACCGATCATGGAATTCACTCACGCTGTCAGCACTTTTTGCACCTGATGAATGGTAGCGATCGACACGCATCTGAAATTCAATAGGTACCATATTGTTCAGGGCGACCTGTGCCTGCGAAAACGTCAGAGGTGTATCGGAATTCTGGATCGGCTCATAAATGGCATTCTCGCCGTCGTCGTATGCGTATTGGTTACCAGTAGGTGAAATAGGTTGTCTTCCGCTTCTTGGTCTTGAAAAGACCGGTTCCTGAAAAATCAAGTTGGGATGAAGTGCGTCCTGCGTCCAATGGATTTCGTTCACCCTACTCAGTGGAGGTCCGGGCCAGGCGGCGTTCATTTTCGTATCAATAGGTGCATAATAGCCATATTTTGTGGGTGTAATCGCTCCTGACCTGGTGGGCATACCTTCACCTGGAAGCAGTGTTTGGTCCATTGTGATAGGACCATGAAGTGGTTGATCTTTTGTTAACCCGGATACTGGCACAGCTTCAGGGACGGAATGAATTGATGAGTCCTGATTCTCGATGCTGAGAGATGGCAGAGAGCCGTAATATCCCAGACGGTGTTTCGCAGACAACTAAAAGTGAAGGGAAAATGCGGGTACTTAGTGTTGTCAAATGCACTACTTTCCAGTTTTCCGCAAATAAGTAACAAAAATTCTTTATCTCCTTTTTGCGAAGGCAACGACAAGAATGACACTGGATTCGACATTTTGTCAATGGATAAGCGCTTCGTCTAGGTAATCCGTAGCAAATCTTTTTTGCAAAACAATTTAGGCGTGATGTGCAAGAATTTATGCATTGTATTTCGGATTTGGTTGTTCGCTTAGACAATAATTTGTAGTGCTCATTTCGCCGCAGGTTGAAGTGGCGCTACACAGACTTAACTGGTGGGAAAATCAAAGGTATTTGTGAAAGTGTCATCAGTCATTTGCAAGGCCTTCAAAAATCGAGATGTTATTCGTAGGAAGTTACAATTAAGCCGTCTTCATGTATTAAGGGAAATGTGTTGAACAGTTTGGTGATCATGCGGCCCCGCTTACTGTGCAATATGTTTGAACTCCAAATTAAACTTACGCGCTGCTCCTTCTGTTTGACCTCAGTGCACGGCAAATTGAACTCTTTAGTGAAAGTGAACTGTCTGACCACTGTACCACTGCTTATGACAGAATAAGACTTTTCCAAACCAATGATAGAGAGCTTGTCAGCATTACCTTTAAAGTACACAAAAGAAACATTGTTGGATCATGTCTACACCAGCATTTTCTAAGTGTTTCTAAAGAAACTTCCGATCACCTGACTTTTACCGGTTCAAGAAACACGGTACACCTATTTGTCTATTCGGCAGTTGGTCTGAAGGTTTTTCTTTTTATAATAGTTGACATGGGACATTAGTTGTCGAAGATGCCTCACATCAGTCGGCTTAGAGCCAGGAAGAAAGTTTGCAATATTACTGGACTAGAGTGTGCACAAAATTATGGTCAGGAGGATTTCAGCAAAAGCTCTTTAAAAATTTAACTGTGCAATCAGAGTTGTTTTTGAGCGGCAACTGTAGAACACCTCAACTCTCAAAATTTGAATTCTTTGTAAGTAAGTCTAGTAAACCCAGGAGCGTTGCAGCAGGTAGACACATAAAAGACCAATATGTTGGCATATTCCCAGTAAACTTGGAAATTTAGTAAACGCCTCTGAAAGCAGCTCACTGGTTTAAATAGCTAACTCTTCAAAAATACGACTGGACACAAAAACCTCATGAAAATCAAATCACTTGGTCTAGATTTTTGGAATCATGTCTTAACGTCATAACGGAACAACGATTGATTGTAGTGATTGATTGCAGGATTTACAAACTTTGCATCCGCATCAAACCCGTTTAGAACATCTTCCTCCGTTCCTGGTTAGTCTATATCAAAAAGATAGGAAGAACTGGACCCGAGTATTGCCCCTATTCGTGCTCATCAGACGTGCCGGGATTTTTACCCAAGATAACTGGTAAGTGAGGTGAGAGGGTTACGACTATACAACCGGTACACACTAGACGCGCTTGAACAGGCTTGAACTTTAGCGGTTACTAGTGTATCCAGCATCGTCTCTCGAGTTGCGTGATCCGAGAGCCTGCAAGCTTCCCAATGCACATGCATTGGGCATCGAGTTATGCCTAGTGTTACGTTGACGCAGCTTAGGATTCATACCTAGTCTTGTGCTTAGACGCACTCTTATTGCAGTCCGAGTTCGACCTGCCATCCGGTTAGGTACAGGCTGTCAGCATTCATTTCAGAAGTTCACTCTTACATCCGATTATGACCTATGTTTAGTTGATTTTTCACTGTACGCTATTATTCAACTGAAATGCCAGCTTATCGACCTGGTAGTTGAGTTTTGACTGGTCTACTGAAACTTTTCTGAAGGGTTATGTTGCTGGTCATTTTTAATGCATCCGATAAAGCTCCAAACAAGCTATTCTTTTCATTCTTTCATATAAAAAATTTGGGATGTTCTAGGCATTTTCTCGCAGCACTGATTACCGTGTTTGACGTCTTAGAAATGAAACACGTTCTGGCCTACCACTAAGCTGTTGTAAGTTATCACACCTGAATTTAGGTGATCGGTGTCCTCCATCTGGTTACGAAGTTCAAGCTGGGTAAATCTAACCAGACGACTGGCTAGTTTAAAGAAACATAATAGTGTAATTATCGCTAAACCAATGCACCAACAAATGCGCATGTTTTGATCCCAGATCCAGAGCTTGACTCAGGTTATTTCGATACCTAAGACAAAACAGCCCTCCGGTCACCAGATGTGATCTTTATGAGTCACACAGACCAATGCAATGCTTGTAACTTGTTCCAAGTGAACCAACCTAGACAGAAATGATCAGTGTTTAGCACTTGTCGTTCACCAAGGTAAACACAAAGTATCGAGGGCTAACGCATGTGTGCACAGTCAACAAACTTTAAAAACCGATGTTGTATGGTTCGCTTAGATTGACAGAATGATGTTGGGGCAGCTACTCTTCAGAAAGTATGTTCTGTTTACCCGATCTGAGTTAGTAATTCCGTTTGCTGAAAGCATGACATATTTCGAGATTCTACTCAGCAGACTAAAAAATCAATCATCATGTGTTAGCCGCCTAGATCATCTGATCACGTATAGGCTGAACTATCACATTCGGTAGTTAATTATGCTGCAGTGAACCCTCTTACCGTTCGCACTGATTCTCGCTCACCAAACCTCAAAAACAGTATCCGCGAGCGCTCTCTCAAGTACAGTCAGTTACGTGAGCATCGGTGGAACAAGTGTAGATGACTCTTCTCAATTGTAGTATGGTTGTATTTTAAGAAAAATTTCGAGTAAAACGGAGTCCACTTTCCAGGGGATATAATCGATTAAAAATACTAATACCATTTCGCCCAATGTTCCACTCACACAACCTCTGGTTACCGTTTGTTAATATGGAGTCACTACGAAGAATTGAGCTAATAATTTATGGAGAAGGAAAAAATCAACTGATCCTCCAGTTTTCAAAATTTTTCAAACAGAAATGATCAAACGGAAGCCATTTGTGCATGTTCATAGATAACATACACTTTTCTTTTGTCTTGGCATTGGTTTAGCACAGATGATTTTGAGTGGCATCTTGGAATTACACAACGGTCTGTGAGATATGTACCAAGAATGTGCATGCCAGCTGAGCGACTGTTTAGGAACCAAACCCTACGAAAACCCGACCGGTTCTTCGAAGATTACAACCAACTTATCAGAACAGTGCCTTCTGGTGCAATAAAAAACAGATAGAAAAATTTTGACACCTGTTTTAGAATGTTCTGTGTAGATTTATTTAAGCATAATAATATCGTTAATAAGCATATAGCTCTTGCAATATATTAAAAGAACCCGTAAGCTCATCTGATAGGACGAATGTTCGTGTGAAGTTATTGACTTACCGCAGTATCAAGAACAATGACCTAAACCATAATGATTTCTTCAACCCCAGCTTGTAGTTTTGAAGGTACGATTGCCGACAGGCGCTATTCTCATAATGATCGGTTCATGCACAGTTTGAAGAGACTTTATTAAGTAATCGAATTTTCGGAACTGCTGTACACCCACCTCATTGATAGGGAGGACACTGAGCACTTCTCAGACCCTAATCAAGGGTCGAAACCAACCACTGAGAAGTAGAATGCAATGCACTACGGATGAGTGAACAGAAGCGCCACACACACTCTCGCACAATCAACACCAAATTCACTCTAACACTATCGTCAACTGCCACGTAGTTCCGACACGTGCACATGACAGCCCATTGGAGCAGGTACTCCGAATTCCGCAGCAGTGAAAGAAAAATTCTATGAATATTATCGCTACTACGTCGAAACCTTAAAACAACTTATTGGAGAAAAATGCATCAATTACACACTTCATAACAATTTACCAGCATGGCTTTACATTCTGTTGAACCAGTGGTAAAAGCGACAGGTCAGTTATGCTCTGAAAATGAAGTTATGTATATAAGAAGTCTGTCGTTATGTAACGGATTCGCACATGTCCGATAAGAATTTGGCGACAGCAAAGAGGGGTTTGAAGTAGTTCTGATGTTATATCTTAGTAAAACAATCACCTAAAGTGGCCTAAATGAACCAGTTTTTAAGAGAAATACACTCATTTGCAAATCAATTTAGTTTTCACGGGAGACTCAATGAATCTCTCGTTTATGATGTCCTCCAGCTGAATGTGCTGCACACAGGCCGCCTTATGATTCAATTGGCACGATATTCGAGATATCGCAGTATGTTTTCATAAAGGAAGCTACTCACAAGGTCATGGGCTGTCGAAGAGTTTTCAGCAACCTTGTGAGTAGTTTCCTTTATGAAAACCAGTTTTTATTTTTAATAACATTATCATTACTACCATTAATAATGTTGCTACTGCTCTCATTGAAGATGTGTTTCACTCTGAATGTCTGACGGTAGGAAAGCGTGAAGTAACGAGCTAAAAGCACCTGCTCACACTGAAATACTAGTAGGCGTGAATAACTGCTCCTACAACATGGCGGTTATTGTACGGGGGGTGGGGTGAAACACTGTTGAAGGGGGCGTGTTGCGTTAACAACAATAAGCAGCTATAATGGATAGTTTTCGGGCGTGACTCTACCCATGCATGGTAGAGTTCTATGTTTTAGTAAGAGAAAATACAGTTGTGGCAATAGTATACACAAAGTGAGTCCTACTCACTAAAATGTTACAAGTTTTGAAGCTAAGATCGATATGTCGTAATAAAATAAACGTATATTCATCCTGAAGCGTATAAGGTCAATACGCTGCTAAACCAAACAAAATCAGCCAGACTACTGTGACTTTATCATCATAGATTCACAGAATCATGTTGCCCAGACGGTTTGGTTCCATTCATCGATCCTAAAGATACATTTGAAGCTCTCTCATAAAATTTATATTCTTGCCCATATGGATGGGATGGAGATTGCTCCATCCCGTGTATTGACAACACCAACTAAATGTAGAGTTGACTCGGTAAATCCAACGCGGAAACACCAAGACCAACGTGGCTTTTAAAAGAT